TCCAAACATATTGATAATATGAAAAGACGAAATCAACATTATGATGGTACTTTTTAGTGATCTTTTGAATGGGTTACAAACTCATTTTTGAGGTAAAAAAGAAAATATTTTGAAGGTCATATCTTAGATAATTTATATTGTTAACAAAACTAACGATACCATTTAGAAGATCACTTAAAAGGACTATGAGAATGTTGAAGTCGTACAATCAATAATTTTCGAGATATTCCAGAAGAACAAAAATACAAAATGACAGTTTTTCTTGAATAACTCAAAAATAATTGAAGCTAATCTACAGGATGTTGGTGAAGAACTGCGACAAATATTTCAGGGGGTGATTCCTTGTGATACTTTAGGAAATAAAGTTCATATAAACATGTTTCCTAACTTGCTTCGTTTTTGATATACAGGATGTTGAAGTTGGAAGTATTAATTGTTTTTATTTATAACGCTCCTGCATAAGCTTTCATAGTGCCACAATTCAGTATGGTTGGAGACTGAAAAAGTCCCGAAATTTCAAAATGATTCTTATTGAGGTTATTGAGTAATCTCTCAACTTATTTTATGATATTTCATAGTTAATGGTTTTTTCAGGTTGCTCAACTCTCTCCTACATGTATCCCCCCCTTAATCCAAATTCTCCAATAATTGTAATAGATCTTGTTAAATGCCTATGCTCATGGTCAGATTTTCATGTTTATCCCTTGACATTGACATTGACTCTATGTCAACGTCTTGTCCATGTCTTCAATTGACATAATTTTCAGTGTTTTCTAACCAAATTAGTTTAGATTTAAAACACGTGCTGGCTGCTTGCCCCATCAATTTTATTGATATTTGCTTTAAATAATGCCTTCATAAGGGAACGGGGAACCCCTTTTTCAAAAACCCGCTAGTTAATGGTGTTGTCAGATTTTGACAATACCCTTCATATACCTCTTTGGTTATATGAAATGTTCTTTTATAAAACCTAGTATACGCTCTCAGGGCACGGGGCCCTTCAATTATTGAGAACCCGTTTACTCAATTTTCATTCTGGAACTGTCGACTATGGGCATTGACAGAAAATAATTTTTTCAACTCCAAGTAAGTCTAGCATAAAATAGGTAATCTTTTCATTTCAATATCATTGTTTTTGTATTGTAGACTTTTCAATTAGGCTGAAGATGGTCTTTTATAAGACCGAAACATGTCCCTCATGAATTAGTTAATAATATCATTAAAATTTGTGGAGATGACTTCGAGCATTCCTTCCTTCCTGTGAAATATTTCACTCCACTTTGAGCAATATGGACTTCTACCAAAGACTGAACTGATTGTTGAGAAGGTTTGTGATTAGTATTGATAAACAATGGTGATTTATTGTGTCGCCTTTGGATGCAAGAAGAATGAACAAAACAAAAGGAAATTAGCATTCCATGGGTAGGTTGAATATTGTTCTCAGATTTTTGAAAAATATAGTTCATGAAATGATCATCAGTTAGGTTTACAATGTCCAGTCTCAGAATATGTTCAAAAACTATACCTATATTATTTGTCAAAGTTAAATACTTCCATATTGATATTGAGTAATATTATTTATTGCAGTTTTCCATTCAAAAGACCAGACATTCTCGAATTATGGATAAAGGCAGTTCCTAGTGAGAATTGGACTCCAACTAAAAGCAGCAAGCTTTGTGGGGAGCATTTCCTGCCAACAGATTATTCAGGCATACCAGGTACTGCTAGGTTTTTGAAAGCAGATGCTGTACCCAGTATTTTCATTTCCTCAGCATTTGTTACAAAAAAATGCTGATTCCCCCAGGAAAATAAGAAAACTCATAGGTACCTAGTTGATTAATAATGAAAAAGAAGTATGTTTGCACCTATTTGAAATAAAAAACAACTAGCTAGTAATTTGTTTTCAGGATGCATCTGTGGACGTCCAAAGGAAGAAGTTTCCCATGTTATTGATTTTGACTTGCCTACCACTTCCAGCTCCCAAGTTTTGAAGTTGATCAATAAAGAAACTCAAACTGTTTCATTTGAAAAGGATATTGTATTGAGGAGAAAAGTGAACACACTGAGACAAAAAGTAAAAAGGAGAGACCTAAAAATTTCAAACATGAAAGAATAAGTAGTTCAATCAATTTCCAACAGTGGTGGTATAGTAATGACAATTAATGAGTGACCTAATGAAGGAATGGGAACCTATGGAAATTATGCTCAAAATGCACTCATCAATACCATTCAAGAACCTCTTTTCAAATTTTTCCTATCGTTTTTCTTTTCCTTCTGATAGTTCTGAGACATTGTGCTTCGCTCACCCTGTACAATATATTGTGAAATTTGAATGAAAATATATAATTTCAATTTTGTACTCATTTGACTTCCTGATCCTGTAAGAGTAATATTGAAATTTCATTTTAAAGTCAATAAAAAAATCAGTAATAATTTTTTAATGATAATTGATTACAACATTATCCTTTTTCCTAAATGAATATTTTTATTTAATCACGTTTACTATTAAATAGAAGCAAAAAACGAAAAAATATTTCAAATTATGCGAGCGCTTCCCATTAGCCAACACAAGATAGAGAGAGATAGGTATCCGTAAACACTGCGGGTTGCCTGAAAAATATTTTTGCCTCACTCGTCGTTCACAGTGGGTCCCTTCCAGTTGTTTACATACAGTTCATTGGATTTCAGTAGTGAGGATCGAATTTAGGTCACACTGTATATAGAATAGGTGAGTGGGCAAATTTTTTTTTATTCCTTAAATAGAATCATCATTCAAATACCTTTGAATTTCATATTTTTTAAGAATTTTTCGGTCGATTTTTAGGTGCTAAAATCATCAAAAATGTCACGGTAATTTCCAAACCGCTAGAAATTTACCGCCAGTAAAATGACGCCACGATTTGGTAAGTACGAGCAGACCACAGCACAGTTGCCAGTGAGCCTAAAAGATTAATTCAATAGATTTTTAGTGACAACTTATTTTGTAAAATGTTTGAAGAAGGCAAATATCGAAAAAATATCGAATTTTTACTGAATTTTGGACTTGGATTTCAGCAACGAAACTAATACGTGTTAAAATATAATTGAAAGTTCTAGCAAAATCGAGAATATACTAAAATGTTCTTGATATTCCATGATAGCAGTTTATTGTTTCATTCTTAAGATTCTTGTGATGGTAAAAAAAAAACAACCCAAAGACGAATCCAATACCTAGAAGGCAAACACACGGTAATAATAAATCGAGGAAATAATTTCTCAGGAAATGAACATTTCACATATTCATTAGTTTATTCCTCAGACTAAAAAAGATAGACACCGCAATTCATTCATGAACCATTAAAAAGTATACGCCAACAATCTTAAACACCAAACGTGGAAAAATGAATGAAGTCGTGAATGGTGGGGATAACTCTGCGGAATTTTTGCATTAATATCTGAATTTTTATAAATGTGTATATGAGCATTGAAAAAGTAATTCTAACGTATTGAAACATATTTATACGTCATTCTGTAACGTTTAAGCGAGGTTATTTGATGTGAACAATATTATACAGGCTGATTCACGGTGGATGGCACATTAGACGTTTCTGGTGAACCAGACAACGGATCATTTTGAAAATTCAATGGAGGGCACATTCGGATATTCTCTAGCCAACTAAAATATTTTCGACAATGCGGTGTTGCCGCTTCTATTAGAAAGCAGTAGCAACTTTGATTTTTCAAATGGAACACTCTGTATTTTATTGCATTTTTAGATTCTCCCTGAAGAGCTGATTTCATCGATGTATTATACTTGGGGTCTAGCGGAAATGATTACAGAGATATAGGGTGTGAAAAATCGACATTTTTCAACTTTAGGAATTTTTTTTGTCGAAACTATTCATCATTGGTCAAAACGGCTCACATGTCCCTATCTCAACTTTTGATCAACTATCTACTGAAATTTAATTGAAACGAATACAGGGTGGTGCAGAATTCAGAATCTTGATCACCCGGTATATGTCCCAATTAAATATCAGTAGATAGTTAATCAAAAGTTGAGATAGGGACATGTAAGCCGTTTTGACCAATGATGAATAGTTTCGACACAAAAAAATTCTAAAGTTGAAAAATGTCGATTTTTCACACCCTATATCTCTGTAATCATTTCCGCTAGACCCCAAGTGTGATACATCGATGAAATCAGCTCTTCAGGGAGAATCTAAAAATGCAATAAAATACAGAGTGTTCCATTTGAAAAATCAAAGTTGCTACTGCTTTCTAATAGAAGCGGCAACACCGCATTGTCGAAAATATTTTAGTTGGCTAGAGAATGTCCGAATATTCTCTCCATTGGATTTTCAAAATGATCCGTTGTCTGGTTCACCAGAAACGTCTAATGTGCCATCCACCGTGAATCAGCCTGTACAAATGCCGTCAATCAATAAATTCAAGTCTTCAAACAACACTGCCACTGTACCAAATTTTCACGTACCTTTGGAAAATCAGGTAAGAATAACTTTTCTTTCTAGATTTGACTCTGCAGACTATATTTATTCAGAAATTATCTGCTTTAGATTTATATCAAGTCACTGACATACGGAAATCTAACCACACAACAGCCGGAAAGCCATTAATAACAACAAAAACGACAAGAAACCACGAAACTTTGCGGTACCGCCATGTTCATATTCAACTAATTCATATTTTTCATTTCGTTATGTGACCTACAACAACTAAGGAGTTCATAATGAGTAATAGTGAACTTCTAACAGTTATGTTGTCATGGGTGTATTATTGTTTTGAAGTTCGCTCTATTTTTTAACATGAGCTATTTATGCTCAGTTGAATGAAATGTTTCATAAACAAAATAAATCGCTCTTTTCAACTAGTTACTCTGAGGTTTATTCATTCCCATTACACACACGTGGTGAATCACTTGCGCTTGACGTTCACATCGCAAAACACGCCGTGGAACAATTCCATAGCGACCGCGCCTAAATAGCTATATCCAATCCCACCTTTCGAAATCAGCGGCTCGTGCGCGTGCGCTGCGCCCGTCGGCTTGCCGCCCCTCGCGGCGGGCGGCTGGTCGGTGGGGGCAACCGCTGTAACGGTCTCGGCGGGCAGCGAGAACGTCTTGTCGAGGATGTCCGTTTCGCTGGGGCGGGCGTCTTCGATTTTGCGCTTGTGGCACGCCGATCTTATAACGCCGTTGACGCCTGGAACGGGAGGACAGAGAATATAGGAATACACTCATCTGGCATAGAAAACCGGCCAGTACTAATTTTAGCTTTCTAACATTTTCAAATCTTGTCTGATTTTGATGAAATCTCTACCAAATCAAAGATTAATGTTTCTAGATGTTAACCTGATTTTATTTCTCTAGCACGTTCGCTACCAAGGGTATTTGAGCAATCCGTCACCACAGACCAGGGGGCGATTTGGTCGGTATCGTCATATACTATAGATTTTGTTTTCACTATGTGATATCGATATCTTTTTGCCAGAACATCGTAATTCGTGAATGTTCTCTCATCTCATCTGTGAATTGCTTTTGAAATCTGATATTTCAGATATGAAGGTTATGGTATGAGTGGTATGTAAAAATATAGTCAATTCCGAAGAAAAACTATTGGTTCACTTAGAAATGATACTTACGATAGTTAACTGGAATGAGAAAATGGGCAGATGTATACTTTTATCTCAAGTTCACACCTAACGATAATTTAAATGTTCGGTAGATAAATCGAGGAAGCATACATTACCTAGAGAAAATCGAAGAATGATGCAAAATTATAATATTATTTATTGGCAGGAAACAAAAAATGTCTTTGGCAAAAAATAAGGAACAATCTAAAATAAAGAAAACTACATGTTTCTATAACAAAAAAAAACAAAAATCGTGAATTAAACTATCCAGCTCTAATGATCTTCATTTGTGTCTCTATCTGTTTCTGGAAGGTTGTCTGGTACATCAGCAGAAGTCTTCGTTTCCAGATATTCCTGTCGATATTTGACAGTTTAAACATTCTTGCTTCATAACTCTATCAGATCTTTTTTTTTTTGGAACTGACAAATCAGTAATCCAACTTATGAGTGTATATCCTCTTAGGTTTTTTTTTCATAATTTTCTTTGTCACTTGAACATTCAACGTTTTTTCATTTGAACCATCAGTTTTCTTCCTCTGGTACCCATTATAGCGGTTTTCTGAAATGAACAAAGTATTGATGAAAATATGAAATATCTATCTGATTACGTTGAGTTTCAATGATCTGATATAGTGCCCTCTGACTGAATGCATATTTCCATCATAATATAGACAAATTATCTCTATTTTTGTGAGTTAATTAGAAAATGTTGTTACTTACGTTGTCACGACATTCACAAACGACAAATAGTGAAATATCGTATAGCACAGAACCAAACAGAACCGCTCGTTAGCGACAGGATTGGTACCACGTGACACTGACGTTACTATAGTCTGCAGGTGACAGTCAGTCATAATATAATGTCGCGGTTTCTCTTCCAGTGGACGGTTCGAAAGTGTTCCATACGATATAATTCCGAGTTAAATTACAGCTGAACTTTGCGTATTCAGCTCACGATACTCTGGCAGGACTTTCTTTGATGTTACTTACGATGTTCTGGCAAAAAGTTATCGATATATTCACTTCAAACAACATAAAAAACACTTTTCATAATGCTGTCACATATTTGTGACGCTGGTCCACCGAAAGTAATTTGTCAGGATAGACCAGGGTCACATATATGTAACAATCCAATATTGAAGATAGAACAAGAGTTTCAACTGAATTATCTTCATTCATGAACTCAAAACATTTATTCCATGATGATATATACCATAAGTAAACAAAATCATGCGTTAAAAGCCTATAACCTATTTTGAATGTGGTAATCTTTGAAACCAGGTTCAATACATAATCCAATTGGTTGACCACCATCTTGGCATGCGTGACATGTAGTAAAGAAAGTAACAGATATCTTCTTTCTTTGGGAACATACACCATATCCATTTGTCTAATTTTTGTTGGGAAATGATTGTTCGTTGTCTGTGTTCGAGAACTTGTAGAGGCCTGAACGTCAGTTTTCTAAAACTCCTGAGCTATATCATCCCGGAATTGCAGACAAGTTTTTTCTTCTGATGTACTTTATTATATAACCAGCATGCATTCCACATTGAAACATCAAATAGATGAAAAAATATTTCCAGATACCAGCGTACATATTTGCGTGGAGTTGAATAGTATGAAACCATTTGATCACATCTGTCAATCCCTGACATATTCGAATTGTAATCAATTATGGTAATTGATGGTTTCAATTTTTCATTTTCCCGTTTGTCAGTTATTTTGCCCATAGTTGCCTTATGTTTGGTAGAGATCACTAAAACATCTCAAACATATAAATGTTTGCTGAAAGCTATTGAACACGAAATCACGCACCATCTAAATAAACATGACCTAACAATGTACAGGTCCTCCTGATCCACAGACCACTCGTCACAGATATGTGGCGAACCTATTTATAGACCATAGTGCAACGAACAAAACAACAACTCAGACCACAGATTTTAGAAATCCAATTGAAATACTCTGTACTCGCGACACAAATGTGTGTCAGCGGTCGTACGTGGGAACCCTTCTGTCACATATATGTGACGCCTGGTAGCGAACGTGCTAGAAATGCTGATGGCTTGATCATTATACAGGGAAAAACGAAAATTACTTTTTTACCCTCTAATTCTTAACGCCCTGTGGAGGAAGTGAGCAGCTAAACTCAGCTTCATTATGTTCTGGATTGAAGTGAGATCCCTCACTAACACAATGTTTTTTTATTCAAGTCAATATCTTTTTTTTGAAGGGAAGATACAGGTGATTTTAGGAATTATGGAATTTTTCAATTCTTATCAATTAAATGCAAGAAGGCTGGGACAATTGTCTGGAGTCATTATGACAGTTAATGAATGATTCACATGTAAAAACTTCACAAACGATAAGATTTCTACAAAATTCTCAAACACACGACATGTTTCGCTAACACAGTAGCTTCGTCAGGTGATATACTGGTACAATGAATCAGTATATCACCTGGCGAAGCTACTGTGTTAGTGAAACATGTCGTGTGTTTGAGAATTTTGTGTAAATCTTATCGTTTGTGAAATTTTTACCTTTGTCTTGGATTTCCATCAAGTAACGGCCGAGTCAATTCAAAATTGGTGATTCACGTTTGAGAATTACAATTGTTGTTAACAAGTTAAGTAAAAAGTTTTGATGTAATAAAAATGCCGTTAACTGCTGCGAAAATTGGTCAAGTGGTAGCTGGATTGAAGATGGTCGCAGACAGCGTTATGTTTCTCGAACATTGGGAATACCATGTACAACAGTTCAAGACGCCTGGAATCGGTTTCTGGAGACTGGCACATTCAAAAGGCGTGCTGGATCAGGAAGAAGAAGAAGAGCAACGAGAAGGATTGATGATCGTTTTGTTGCGCTCAGATCGTTGAGGAATCGCCGAACAACAGCGGTACAACTTCAACATTACTTGCACGTTGTTCGAGATGTTGATGTGAGTGAAAGAACTATCAGGCGGGGGCTTGGAGAATATGGTTTGGCATCTAGGAAACCAGCCACAGGACCGCAACTGCTACCTAGGCATCGTAGGGCACGATTACAGTTTCTTTAGTTTTTCAAACTACCATTCAACCACCACCAATTTCAAGTTCACTTGAATTTTCCAATTCTGACGAAGGAATCATAATTTTTGATCCGAAAACGCCCACTTACAAATTTTGAATAGAATCGGTATATAATTACAAAACTCCCTCGGTGTATTGGTTACACCGTCTTGACTCCAAATCCCGCCCTTTCCAAATTTTGACAAAAGAATCATAATCTCCCGAAAACACGCAGATAACACTTTGGAAGAGAGTCGGATCATAATAATTACAATACTCGTCCGCCATATTGGTTCCGCCATCTTGAATTTCCAAATTCCGCCCGAATTTTCAAATTCTGACGAAAGAATCATAATCTCCGATCCCGAAATCCCGCAGATACCAATTTTGAATAAAATCGGACCATAATTACAATCCCGTTCAATCCCAAGTATACGAAGGGACTTGATAAGGTTTTTAAATATTTAGGTTTTGAAAGCGTTTATCAGTCTGGGTCAAAATTAGGCAATTCATTAGGCACACCCAGTCAGCACATCCTTTCGTTGTCAACTTCGAAAGATGTCGAACAGCGCTTTATCAAAACTCCTTCATCCATAGAAGGGCTAGGCTCTGGAATTCATTACCTGTGGAAGTATTCCCAACAACATATAATCTCCAGAAGTTCAAAAAAAATTCCAATACCTACATCCTGTCCCTATCCTCCCTAGGAACGCACGATGTTCTTTGAACATTATAGGGATTTCCTTTCGTGCGCTCCAAGCGATAAAAAAAGGCCACCCGAAAGATAAAGTGGACACACTTGAAAAGTGGGGAGTATACGAAATAAGTTTTAATGATTGTGATAAAACATATATAGGCCGAACCAGGCGAACCATGAAAACAAGGTTCAAAGAACACAGAGCCCATTTAAAATATGGTAGGTAGATAAATCGTGTGTAGCCGAACATAGTATGTTCAATCACAATCATAACACACACATTAGTAACCTCAAAGTAGTAAAGCAAGTTGATAATATTAATCTTAGAGATATTCAAGAATAGCAATAGAGTAATGAATAAGGATAAAGGACCTATGCCATAAAGCACTCTATATAGTTTAATAATATAAAAATTAAGATTAACATGTGAACTCAACTATGACGAATATTAAACTTGACGGTTAGTATTTTTTACAGTTGGGTGAACATACAGTGTGTCCCACTTACCATGCTCACCATGGGTATCTTCTTAACGGTGAGAGATACGAGGTCGGTTAAATGACACCAAATGTGGAGTTTGTCAAGGCCAACTATAATGTGAAAAAATATTTTGATAAAATCTATTCGTTTTTGTTTTATACGCAAAAAACAGATTTTGATCATTTTCATTTCTCCTCCGTAACTTCTTTATTTACGAAAATATTCAAAAAGGAATTTCTTATCCTCATGGCAGTTTTTCAAAGTGATTTCGAAAAGAATATGAAATTTTTACCAACTCTTCTAGAATTTGAGATACCAGCACCAACTTTAGTTTTTCAAATGTAGGTCATAGCTCACTATGACTTAGTTACAAATAACTTTTTTTTCTCTTTCAGATGATATGTCGCAGTAATAGTTTTGTGTTGATAACAACGGAGTTATCGTCATTTATACAAAAACAAAAAATTATTTGGAAGCCGCCATCTTGAATTCATAGATTTTAACGATAAATCTTGATTTCCGACCTCAAAAAACCCCCACTTACCAATTTTGAATGGAATCGGACCAAATCTTGTCCGCCATCTTGGAGCAGCCATTTTTTTTAATTTCAACAAAAATTCCATATTGTATTGTCACCGAAATTATGAACACCTGCCAAATTCCGAGTTGATCGGGGTTATGGAAAAATGGCTGCTCCAAGATGGCTGACAAGATTTGGTCCGATTCCATTCAAAATTGTTTAGTGGGGGTTTTTGAGGTCGGAGATCAAGATTTCTTTGTTGAAATTAATAAATTCAAGATGGCGGCTTCCAAATAATTTTTTGTTTTTGTATAAATGACGATAACTCCGTTGTTATCAACACAAAACTATTACTGCGACATATCATCTGGAAGAGAAAAAAAAGTTATTTGTAACTAAGTCATAGTGAGCTATGACCTACATTTGAAAAACTAAAGTTGGTGCTGATATCTCGAATTCTAGAAGAGTTGGTATAAATTTCATATTCTTTTCGAAATCACTTTGAAAAACTGCCATGAGAATGTGAAATTCCTATTTGAATATTTTCGTAAATAAAGAAGTTACGGAGGAGAAATGAAAATGATCAAAATCTGTTTCTTGCGTATAAAACAAAAACGAATGGATTTCATCATGACATTTTTTTACATTATAGTTGGCCTTGAAAAACTCCACATTTGGTGTCATTTAACCGACCTCGTATCTCTCACCGTTAAAAAGATACCCATGGTGAGCATGGTAAGTGGGACACACTATATACCTAGTATAAAAGCAGCACACTAGAATAGAATATTTATTTTTAATCTTCTCCTGCAGATGCTAACATAGTTAGCAAAACACGTGTCGTGTCGTTTTAAAAATCGGTTTGGTTCGTGGTAACAGTTTAGTGTACATAAACAAACGATCAAACAAACAATCAAATATTTCCTCTTTATAATATTAGTATAAATAACTATTAGTCGACCGCTTCGATGGCTCACCTTCCGTCAACAATGTGCCACCTCTCGACCCCGAATCTCCCGACCCCGCCTCCTCATCGGCCGACTCCGCCCACTTGATGTTCCGCCTACCTCGAAGCGTGGCGACCACGTCCTGATACTGTTTGGCGATGTCGCTGGACAACATCCCGTGGCCTTGCAGCACGACATAGAGCTTGTTGAGGGCCAGCGACATCTTCTCGATCAAAGACAGGTTGACCTCGTGCTCGTCCAACAGCAGTTCGCTGGTTTTCTGTTCCAGTTGCAGCTGGAATCAATAAGGAATACGCATGATTTTTTGTTTAATCGAAATTATATTCCTTCTTCCTTATAATACATTGGATATCATTCATTAATCTCAAATTTGCTTGTGACTCTAAAAAATTTCATTTAAATGAGGCTAAATATGAAGTCACAGGAAAACGGGTTAGTGGCCATCACTAATATTATGACGTCATAGTATTAGGCCGCACAGCCATAGACTAGCGCGACAGAATGACAAGATTCAGATTGAAAAAAAAAGAAGAAGAAGAAGAGGTAGGAGAAGAAAACAGTTTTAAACGCCAGAAATTTGAAATTAGAAAATGGAAAATTATAATGTTTATACCAAATACTGTTTAGTGCCGCAATGCCTTTCATCAACAAAAGTATCACCAGGAAAAATATTCCTTTCATTGCCAGTGGGATCGAGTGATAAAAATAAAGAGAAAAGAAAATGATGGTTGCAAGCCATAAATAGAAATGATTTATCCGAGAAAACCAGAAGATTTGTTTGTGAAGACCATTTCGAAGTGTGTATACGTTCAAGTATGTCCTAGTGAAACCCATTATATATCAATGATTATGTTCCTCCTGTTAGGAGAATAATATAATGTGATTTCGTTTTCAGCTTGAAGAAGATATGGAAAACTATATGAGATATAAATTGATAGGTGGTAATATATATTTGAAACAACATGCAAAAAGAAGTCCTGTTTGATCATTCTTATTGTAGATATTTGCTTATTATTCAGTTATTATTATTCAGAATATTGAGATCATATAATTGAGATAGATTATAGAAAGTACAAGCTCAGATAATCATAACCTCACTTTCTCTTCTTATATTATTTTCAATCTTTCGGACATGAATGTTTGACATGACAAATAAAAACAGCCACATCCAGTCGGAAATCATCGCTGCAGTTCGGCTGTTGGTCGGAAAGTTGCAAATATTATGATTTTCAATCTGAAATTATTAAATAGTCGGTGCTTAATAATGTTTTTCGGATGTATAATTCGACATCTATACATATAAGTAATGGAACAAAAATATATTCCAGTGTAAAATTTTCACACGCGTATACCCTATTACAGCGACTATACACCGTGTCCCAGCTGAAATGTCCCCCGCTGTAAGAAATCAACCGCGCGATCGAATGACTTGAAATTTGGTCACCCAGTATATTTGATGATGCTCACTCGAAATATGCAAGTGGATAAATCGTAGGTATACAGGGTAACATCGAAGTGCACCTAAACTTTCCTATTTGAATAGGGACACCCAGTATATTATTCCATATTCGAGTAGAGTTCATTATTACAAATTCAATAATACCGGATTTGATGGGATTTTTCCAAACGACTACGAAGATATGACAAAAAATAAAACAATTCAATAATAAAGGACCCCGCACGAAAACACGGAAAAAATTGGCTCTCGGTCGAATTGGCTGAAATTTTACTATGTTGTTGTGGGATGGCTCATTAGAAAAATATCTGAGTTTAAAAAGTTTTGTACGCTTGGTTTCTGAGACATAAGCCGACAAAGTTCGTAAAAACGTCGTATCGGGGTAGGATTGACAAAGAAAAAAACTGTTTTCTTAGTATAAATAAGACAAAATGAGCTAGAAAATATATTGATCGGAACTCAAATATATGTCTAGTTATGATCACATAAGTTATAGTAAATCAGGGTGTATACGAGGCACGGTCAAAAAATTCATTTTTCGGAAAAAAAATTCGAGCACTATTCCAAAACCAACAAGTTATATTTTGGTGGGACATTATAATTTCAGTCTATTGTAGGCTTCAAAAACGTATTTTGATTCTTGATAACTATCTCTGTTCGAAATATGAATATATAGAATTTTGTGTTACACCCCTTTTTGAAAACAGCTTGACAGCTTGTTTTTGATCACAAAGAAAGGGATTGATTGATACTGTTGATTGAATGAGAGCTGAGGTGACTCACTAGCGAATTCAGTTGTTCAGTGTTGCCATTCATTTAGATACAGGGTGTGTTAGATTTTGTTGAAGATTATTTAACATGTTCCAATTGAACATCTCGAAAACATTTCCGTTAATTTGGATCTCATTTTACTGACACTATTTTGAATATGGTGACTATCATATGCAAAAAGTTTTTCAATTTTTGATGTTTCGTTTCTGAGATATCAATTTTTGAGTTTACAGTATTACAGGTATTATGGGGTCATTACCTCGGATATTACTATCGATTCAACAGAACTTTACGGAATTTTTCGAACATTCAATTACATTATATAAAACTATTAGAAATCAATAATTTTTTACTATAAACAACACGAACCACATTGAATAACAATATGAAACTCAACAGTATGGATTCCATAAAGTTCTGTTGAATCGATAGTAATATTCGAGGTAATAACCCTATAATACCTGTAATACTGTAAACTCAAAAATGCATATCTCAGAAACGAAACATAAAAAATTGAAAAACTTTTTGCATATGATAGTCAACATATTCAAAATAGTGTGAATAAAATGAGATCCAAATTAACGGAACTGTTTTCGAGATATTCAATTGAAACATTTTAAATAATCTTCAACAAAATCTAACACACCCTGTATCTAAATGAAAAGCAATATTGAACAACTGAATTCGCTAGTGAGTTACCTCAGCTTTCATTAAATCAACAGGTTCAATCAATCACTTTTTTGTGATCAAAAACAAGCTGTCAATTGTTTTCCAAAAGGGGTATAACACAAAATTCAAAGCATTCATATTTCGAACAGAGATAGTTATCAAGAATGAAAATACGTTTTCGAAGCCTACAATAGACAAAAACTATAATGTCTCACCAAAATATAACTTGTTGGTTTTGGAATAGTGCTCGAATTTTTTTTCCGAAAAATGAATTTTTTTACCGTGCCTCGTATGCACCCTGATTTACTATAATTTATGTGATCATAACTAGACATGTATTTGAGTTCCGATCAATACATTTTCTAGCTTATTTTGTCTTATTTATAATAAAAAAACAGTTTTTTTTCTTTGTCAATCCTACCCCGATACGTCGTGTTTACGAACTTTGTCGGCTTATATCTCAGAAACTAAACATACAAAACTTTTCAAACTCACATATTTTTTCAATGAGCCATCCCACAATAACATAGTATAATTTCAGCCAATTCGACCGAGAGCCAATTTTCCGTGTTTTCGTGCGGGGTCCTTTATATGATTAGATTTTATTAATTAAACACGATTTAAACCGAATGAAAAAATAAATAAATCCTCACCTGCTCATATGTCGTCCATTCTGCTGCAAACATATCCTAGCTCTTTTGATAACGTTCATTGTTACCCTATGTATCACTTTGCGATCAATTTGTGCGCATAAATTTGTGATTTTCTATTTCATTTCTTCCATATTCACAATTGGCGTCTCATGAACCTGTTGTTTCAAGTAGACCCACAAATAAAAATCAAGTGGGGTGAGGTCTGGCGGCCGAGCTGGCCAGTTGCTATCACCATCGAGACAATTGGTGGTTATTAGATTTTCTCCAAACCAATGGCGAAGATAATTCTTAACGGGTATGTAGTTATGTGCAGGACACCCATCATTCGATTTCAATCATGTTATATTAATCAAATCTATCATATACATTTTTTATTGAATCGTATTATTTTTTGCCATATCTTCGTAGTCGTTTGAGAAAATCCCATCAAACCTGGTACTGTTGAATTTGTAATAATGAACTCTACTTGAATATGGAATAATATACTGGGTGTCCCTATTCAAATAAGAAAGTTGAGGTGCACTTCGGTGTGACCCTGTATACCTAGGATTTATTCAATAGCATATTTCGAGTGAGCATCATCAAATATACTGGGTGACCAAATTTCAAGTCCTTCTATTGCGCGGTTGACTTTTTACAGGGGGGGACATTTCAGCTGGGACATGGTGTATACAGGATAGTGGCGACAGAGATGTATAGAAATTCAACTGGTGCGCTTGCTCCCTATTGAAGGTCGTTTGCAAGTTTCTCGATGGCGCCTACTCTGATAAACCTTCGATAAACATACTTAACGTGGGTAACTCTCGCTAAGCTTATCCTGGTTACAATCCATATTTACAGGAAACATATTTCCGACCGATAAATATTTGGATACGTATATGAAGTGGATCAGAGCAGTGAACTGATTCCTGATCAAAGGATGTCAATATGTCAAAAATATTCATTAGCTGAAAAAATGGTTATTTCTGAGATTGGGGTCAAGTGTTCGTTAGGGACGTGTTCCGTAGTTTCTAAATTTTGTGTATAATACCTAATCCACCATAGAAAAAAGAAAATCTCTGTTCTACAACAGTATTATTTCAGTGATTTGAAATATTAGCGTGAACTGGTGTGAATAAATTCTAACGTGAGTACCAGTTACCATATCTGCCTATTATGATTTTCGATATTGGTCTATTTCAATAGTTGATACATTCTTTGTTCTGGTTCTTCAAAGAGGAAATTCATCAGATTTCATGCTTCAAATAGGTTCATGTCATGAAAGAAGTGAAGCTTATTGAAATCGGCTACAAAAAAGATTTCTTGCTTCTATTTCAAATTGAAATTTGAATGAAAATGTTGAGCACAGTATTAATTCGACCACAGAACAATGATGGAAATAGATTCATCCCTCACAGAACCAAGGTTTTGAACGATTTTCAGATTATGGCGCCTCTATCGCAAATACCTGAACCCCACGTCCAAAACTCGCTTGCAATTGTTCCATATCGAGGGTTAGTCTGACGAAACAATTGAAGAGTGAGCCCACCAGTTAAATTTCTATACATCTCTGTGGCGACAATAGTTTTTAATTTGATTGGCTATCGCTGCAGACGCCATCAGGAGGCAAATTTTCTGTGTTTACATTGAGTTTATATGGTTTTTGCGTTGATCCAGTAATTTCTTCTAAACTGCTGATCAATCGAACCGCATCAAGCACATTTTTACTCTAAATTCAACATTGAATATTTTCACGAAAATTACACTTATTCGGATGCGGTTTTCTTCATTCTGAAGATTGATCCATTCGGTATATGGCAGATAGACCGCTGATGGAAATACATGATAACCTCTGGCTATACAGGGTGACAAACAAACCTCTGCAAAATATTACAAAATTCTCCATACTCCCAATTTGATGGAATATTTTCGAGATTTTTTCAACCATATTTTCATAATTCTCGAGCATATACCTCGAAATGGTTTCGCATTTTTCTCTTATCTTTCCAGATTTTTGAGAACAAGATTTGTTTTCGAAAAATGTGATAATTTGTAGCTCAAATATCACAAATCTTCTCTTGGATGAGTTATTGTGACCTTCAATGTATGAAATCTTATATTGCTTATATACAGCGTGTTTGACATCAATATTTGATAGATATTATTACAGGAAGACCGAGCACTATACATTGATCAACTTGTATAGTGTTCGAGATTGAATGACAGCAACTTTCCTTGGAGTTGCAGAAAAAAAAACAGGAGAAAGAATATACAGGGTGATATACCAAGATTGATGGAAGTTTTATACAAGTGCATAAAATGGATTATAAAATGTAATGCTTAAGTGTGAATGAAAAAGGTTTGGTTACATCATTATATTGATAAATGCAATAAAAAAGGGGGGTTCAACTTCCGCTATAGCCTAGGGGAACCCAACAAACCCCAAATCTGAAAATTACGGTGGAAACCACCACAAGATGCACATCTGCAACACTACAAAATGGGAGAACGTGTCTATGTACATCTTGTTACGTACTACACGGAAGTCAACTGACCAGGCTTAAAAATAACAAAAACATGCGTCACACGTCACATGCAAACAAAAAAGACAAATCTGTCAGAAATCTCCAACTCTATCAAATAGCTTTGAGGTAACAACCCCCTCATCCTGTGGTGTAACCAAGCTATTGCTATTCTGTCGGTAACCGCCTTTTCGTTGGATGGATAAAAAAAATGTAAACTGTAGTGACAAACAAATTATATTGGATAATAAATTTGTGAATTACAATGTTGATTTTGTAACACGGAATCTTCTTCGTTCGAGATAAATACAACCCCCCTTGTTTACGCGCATGTTGTAATTGCATACTGTGATCTGCTAGAGTGACTTTATGAACGGTTCGGTATAAGTCAGAGTAAGTTCATGAACGCACCCTTAGACTACCTGAACAACAGAATGACGTTCGCTTTAGATGACAAAAGCTGCAGCCTCTCTCTGGCGATATCTCTGAGCCTACTAACATACATAACAAGTCAGTCTTGAAGGTTTGATTTGAATAGATCCGCCTCGAAGGATCAATATGTTCGGTGCTTGATAGATAGTGGACTGTATTCATATGGTTATATGATTTATGATAAAGAAATTGAGGTTAGTATCAGAATTGCAATTCGTATTGCAATCCTTCTTTATTCATCAATTTTATACAAGTACCATACTATTATATAGGGTCATGCAAGTACTGAACACACCCTTAGAGTACCTGAAGGAATGAATGACGATTGTTTTTGATGCCAAGAAAAATGGAACGCTAGAAAAAAATTGAAAAATTGGATTTGACCCAAAATGTCATTCACGTTATGCTTCATCCGGAGAAAGCTCAGCCTGAACATCTCCCCGTCCAAGTGCTTCTTCAGCTGCGGCATCTCCCAGGCGATATCTTTGATATGATATGACAAACATACAAACATATACGCCTACAAACATACATACATACCAAGTCAGTCTTGAAGGTTTGATTTGAATAGATCCGGCTCGAAGGACCAACATGTTCGATGCTTGATAGACAGTGGACTGTATTTTTATGGTTATATGATATATAAAAATTAAGGTTGATATCAGGATTGCAATTCGTATTACAATCCGTCCTTATTTATTGAAAATACTATATAGGGTAATACAAGTACCAAACTATTATATAGTGTCATGCAAGTACTAAACACACCCTTAGAGTACCTGAAGCAATGAATGACGATTGTTTTTGATGGCGAAAAAAATGGAACGCTAGAAAAAAATTGAAAAATTGGATCTGACCCAAAATGTCATTCACGTTATGCTTCATCCGGAGAAAGGTCAGCCTGAACATCTCCCCGTCCAAGTGCTTCTTCAGCTGCGGCATCTCCCAGGCGATATCTTTAATCTGCCATCGTCGTCGCTCGCGCAGTCGACCACCTGCTCAATGTTCTCTTTGAGAACCGTATACAGACATACAAACATACATACATACCAAGTCAGTCTTGAAGGTTTGATTTGAGTAGATCCGGCTCGAAGGACCAACATGTTCGATGCTTGATAGACAGTGGACTGTATTTGTATGGTTATATATGATATATAAAAAAGAAATAAAGGTTGATATCAGGATTGCAATTCGTATTAAAATCCGTCTTTATTTATCGAAAATACTATATAGGGTAATACAAGTACCAAACTATTATACAGGGTATTTAAAAAAAACCTGACCCCCTTACTAGGGTAGGTAGAACACTGCAAAATAAGTTGGGTTTACTCAGTAAAGAAATCTCGTAACGGCATCCGTTATCAAGATACAAGGTGTTGAAAAAATGATTTTTTTACACATTTACATGCATTTGTTTTTATATCTGACTCTCATAGAGGGCGCTAGTTACACGGTTCGTACCGAGTAGTTTTGAACATAACTTTTTTGAGGTTAGATTTTTCAATCCAAATTTGATGTGAACTTGAACATCATTCAATTTCACACCAAAAAGGTACTCTTGGTAAAACTCGATACTGTGTTCCGTTTTCGGAATATTTCGATTTGAAAATGATGAAGTGGTAACTGTTGCTGGTATGAAGCTATGTATTAGAGTGAGTATTATGAGAAATTATCACCTATTTATTGAAAACCGAAAACAACAATACATTTCTGATGCAAAACTCATTGATTTAACAATGAATCACAAGAATAACATCGAAACAGATTCGACTAAGAACATGGATTACACAGTTTTGTTATATCTTGAGCAGAAAGTCTAAGCTACATAGGTAAATTTACGTCAAGAGTTGTGAGACATAATTGAACATCACTTAAATGACCTAACAGCTGATCCTCAACTGTTTAGAAGAATAATACAATCTTAAGAAAAGAAATTAGAATCGTGTATTCGTCGAAACGTAGGATATTTTGAACACACACTGTAACTGATTCAATATTTCATGTTTCTAGTCGAATATCTCTTAATTTTCTACTAATGATTCTTTGTTCCATCAATAACTTTGGCACAAGAATAATTTCATTGTTTTTGAATCTGAATAAATAGGTAATTGAACTCAATAAAATTCATTTCATACCAGCATCATTACTACTCCATTATTTTCAAATCGAAATATTCCGAAAACGGAACATGGTATCGAGTTTCACCAAGAGTTCCTCTTTGGTGTAAAATTGAATGAAGTTCAAGTTCATATCATATTTGGATTGAAAAATTTAACCTCAAAAAAGTTATTTCCTAAACTACTCGGTACGAACCGTGTAACGAGCACCCTCTTTGAGAGTCAGATACAAAAACAAATTCACGCGATGTGTCAGATTTCCAAAAACATCCGTACCAAATTTCATCCCAATCTTGCCACTAGTTTCGACATAATCGTGAAAAATGTGCAAAAAAATCATTTTTTCAACACCTTGTATCATGAAAACGGATGCCGTTACGACATTTTTTCACTGAGCAAACCCAACTTATTTTGCAGTGTTCTACCTACCCTAGCAAGGGGGTCAGGTTTTTTTGAAACACCCTGTATATGGTCATATAAGTACTAAACACACCCTTAGAGTACCTGAAGAACTAAATAACGTTCGCTTTTGATGACAAAAAAAATGGAACGCTAGAAACAAAAAAAAAACGAAAATGTCACTCACGTTATGCTTCAACCGGAGAAACTTCAGCCTGAACATCTCCTTGTCCAAGTGCTTCTTCAGATGCGGCCTCTCTCTGGCGATATCTTTTAGTCTGTCGTCGACGTCATTCGCGCAGCCGCCCACCTGCTCGATGTTCTCTTTAAGAGCGGTTTCGCGCCGCCTGAACCGCTCGATAGTCGTGCGCACCTTCTTGTGCGCCTGTCGCTTCTCCGCCGAGTCGGTGCAGATGTCGCTCAGTCGGGCGTCGATCTCCTCTTTGAGGAGCCTTTATAGACAGATAGATAGTTTTAAATTTTTTTCAATCCAATTATTTCAATTTACTCAGAAAATAAAGTGTACACATGATATTCATAATAGTAGAGGATCCCAAGTGAGGTTTATCTATACTCATCTGCTAGCAGGATGGAAATTATATTTTATCAAATAAAATATGTTTCTGAACATGTACCTATAGGGTTGCCATGAAAAATATGTTCATGACTATTGTCACAACAAACGAGTTGTTTGTTGATACATATTGATTCAAAAAGGGGTAATGCTTGGCTTAATATTCTGCGAGAGGTAATATTCAAATAGGCACTAATAGTTTAGGGGTAACTGAAAGTACGAGACTACATTCAAACATAACAATATTTATAATAGCATGAAACTTTATGGGTGAAGTGATTATAAATATGAAGAATCGACAATGAATATAAAGACTGAATAACAACTTACATTATAATGACCATTACGACGAGCTCTTGTCAAGTCAAGAGTAGCCCCAGACCAGACTAACTTCGGAACCCTCACATCCAATATTTATATACATCATTTTATTAGATTTGCACGTTTCTCATGAGAGTTCCTTGGTCAGTTTTCATAGTTCAATGTCAATTGATGATTTGAATAAGTTCATGTTTATAAAACCCTCATGGTTACAAATTACTAATATACTGTATGTTCTACTCGTGACACTATGATGAATAAAAATTTGAAAAAATATATTTTTTTTGAATTTCACAGACTTGCTTGCCAAATGAATGAAAGTCCGATGAAAAGCATACAATATACAGTGTGTCCCACTTACCATGCTCAACATGGGTATCTTTTTAACGGTGAGAGATACGAGGTCGGTTAAATGACACCAAATGTGTAGTTTGTCAAGGCCAACTATAATGTGAAAAAATATTTTGATGAAATCTATTCGTTCTTGTTTTATTCGCAAAAAACAGATTTTGATCATTTTCATGTCTCCTCCGTAACTTCTTTATTTAGGAAAATATTCGAATAGGAATTTCACATTCTCATGGCAGTTTTTCAAAGTGATTTCGAAAAAAATATGAAATTTATACCAACTCTTCTAGAATTTGGGATATCAGCACCAACTTTAGTTTTTCAAATGTAGGTCATAGCTCACTATGACTTAGTTACAAATAACTTTTTTTTCTTCTACAGATGATATATCGCAGTAATAGTTTTGTATTGATAACAACGGAGTTATCGTCATTTATACAAAAACAAAAAATTATTTGGAAGCCGTCATCTTGAATTCATAAATTTTAACAAAAAATCATGATCTCCGACCTCAAAAACCCCCACTTACCAATTTTGAATGGAATCGGACCAAATCTTGTCCGCCATCTTGGAGCAGCCATTTTTTTTAATTTCAACAAAAATTCCAAAATGTATTGTCACCGAAATTATGAACACCTGCCAAATTTCAAGTTAATCGGATTTACCACTCGTGAAATATATCAAAATAATGGCAATTTTATAACGAATACAGTAGTAAAGGGTTGCCTTGCAAAATCCGTTCATGAATAGGGGTTGCCAGGCTTTCAAATTGAAAAATCGGGTGTAAGACGAGGAGCATTGCGGGTACTATTTGATGCGATAGAGGGGGACGCAGTACACTAGCTGTGCACGACGGAGCAGAAGAATGTAGGATAGGGCACATGCTTTCTACTCATAGTCAGGGGCGTCCGCAGAAATAATCTCAGGGGAGGGGAAGTCACAATAATAATGTACAATATTCAGTACATATAAAAAAACAGTTTTTGCACGACCTATAAGCAATTTTACACCGACAAAAGCGGGATTACAGGGTATACAGAGTAGGCTTGAAAATACTTTCTAAACAAGATACATTTGCATTATTCAATTCCTATTCTGATTAGCGCTTATTAAAGTGACTCTCTGGGACTTTGTTTAATTAGTATACATCGATATCTTCTGAATAGATGTGAACTTAATTTTATCAACGAAGTAATAGATACATTTGCTCAACACTCTGTAAGAATGCTAGTTTTGTTCGAACAAAATTATGATCATTATCACGTGCAATTTTTTATTGTTATTTTGGCTGTAAACAGAATACCTATGTGATGTCAATTCAATTAATTTTCTTTTTTTTTTATTCCATGTTTCATGTAGAATAATAGTAGATTCCTTAGGTGGTTTTGTAGCCAGAGGGTGCTACAATGCACTGAGGAAAGAAAGAACTCACTTCCGAGGTCTATATACTATTTTTTCCATGACTCGACGATTTTAACTGAAAGAATCTTATGATATAATCAATTATTATCAATATGAAAATAAAAATCTGGACTCACAAATCACCAAATCAAGTTTGATTATTACGACTATCGATAAAGTAGTCGCCATATTGCTTTTTATGAACATCGGAAAAGTGTGCTAGCATATTTTTTAAATTGCTTTCCTAAGTCTATTCAATAAATATTGCAGAAATGTGCGAAAAAACTATTGAAGAAGCTGCTGCAAACATAGTGATAGACTTATTGCCAGAAAAATCCCGGGAAATCTATAAGCCTAGAGAGTACCTACTCTGTATGCCCTGTAATCCCGCTTTTGTCGGTATAAAATCGCTAATAGGTTGTGCAAAAACTATTTTTTCGATATGCACTGAATATTGTACATTATTATTGTGACTTCCCTTCCCCTCAGATTATTTCTGCGGACGCCCCTGACTATGGGTAGAAAGCATGTGCCCTATCCTACATTCTTCTGCTCCGTCGTGCACAGCTAGTGTACTGCGTCCCCCTCTATCGCATGAAATGGTGCCCGCAATGCTCCTCGTCTTACAATTTGAAAGCCTGGCAACCCCTATTCATGAACGGATTTTGCAAGGCAACCCTTTACTACTGTATTCGTTATAAAATTGCCATTATTTTGATATATTTCACGAGTGGTAAGCATATCGGTGCAATTATTACTATCAACTGGCCTATTTGTATACGGCAACCATGTAATAGGGACCAGAAAAATATAGGCAACCTAGCTGTTTCATATTCTATATATTGTATGCTTTCCATCGGACTTTCATTCATTTGGCAAGCAAGTCGGGAAATTTAAAAAAATGTATATTTTTTCAAATTTTTATTTATCATAGTCATGAACATATTTTTTATGGCAAGCAGATGAGTGACGGTCCACCTTACTTGGGATCTTAGACTATAACACATTACAGATTTTAGTGTTCCTTTTGGATCATACAAGTATACCTAAGCATGGCTGTATGCTTGTGTTGTACTAGTCTTCAATCCGCAAGGAGCATTGTAATTGTAGGAGGTTCATATTTAGGTGTATAATTAAAATTTATCCAAAAGAATCTATCATGATTGTTTGTGTAGAATATTGATGAATGAAATACATATTTGTGAGATTTGGTAAGTTCTAAAAGAATATCAATTAATCTATTGTATTATAAAGTATAATAGAATTTTTTTGAACGAAGATTTTGATTTGAGTTTTGTATTCATTGAATTTTGTAATTTTTCTTCATTTCTGGTGGTAACAGATTTAATAATTTAGGTCCGAAATAGTATATACAGGGTGATTCACATAATAACCGACATAGAGCAGGGGCATGTAGGGGGTCCCAAAATATGGTAATTTTACGCAACTTACCTCTATACCAAGTTGCTTCCCTAAGGAGCTATAGGCTTTGAAAGTGAAGTTATAAATTTTGAAAAAAAAATCAATATCTCCGTTATTCTTGAACTTAAAGCAACCAAATTTGGTAATGTTCGTGGATGTATTTAGGGCGTTACTTGACAGTAACTTGAGCTCAATTGAAATTTGTAAAGGGGGTATACCGGGTGGCGCACCATTAATATTCAACAGCATTTTGTTAACCCTTGATGGATTTCAAAAATCTTTGCTTTGTTTTGTGGGCAATTCAATTCTAAAACTTTTCTTAGTCTAGTAATTTCTCGAAAAACCTCATCATTTTCATCAAAAACTCGAATAACTGAAAACGCGTGCTCTAGGTGTGTTATTTAAAATCGAAAATTCAAAAGTTGGTTATGAAAATAAACGTCAAACTTGACAATGAAGCAAGTAAGTTGTTCATTTAAGTAATTTATCAATAAACAATTGTTTGTTCTGGTTGTTGTTCAAGTTTTTTGTGTTTATTTTGGTTAGTTGTTAATCCCCGTTTTTCACATTTCAGTATCTGTACTTACTTTACGTATTTTGTTACGTATCTAAATAATAATTTGCCAGCCAATTTCTACTGATCACAATTAATGACCTACTTTCTTGTTGTACGTTTATTTTCATAGCCAACTTTCGAATTTTCGATGATTTTAAATAAGCTCTAGTTACTGTCAAGTAACGCCCTAAATACATCCACAAAGTGTACCAAATTTGGTTGCTTTAAGTTCAAGAATAACGGAGATATTGATTTTTTTCAAAATTTATAACTTCACTTTCAAAGCCTATAACTCCTTAGGGAAGCAACTTGGTATAGAGGTAAGTTGCGTTAAATTGCCATATTTTGGGACGGTTGGGTATTATGTCGGTTCTTATGTGAATCACCCTGTATATCTTTGAGTGTGTCTTTTTCTGAATAATGGTACTACTCTAGTATTTTTTTGCGACCTCCACTGGTTGATTAAAACGATTTGAATTTTGAAACATCCATTTTAGGCATTGATAGGCATATAACATCAAGTATATCTAGTTGTTCATATAACTGTACGGTTGAATGAAGTCTTGGTTTTTTGTCATTTAACCCATAAACGTCAAAAAATTCCAATAAATTTGTTTAGTTGCTATGGTAACGATACGAACGAAATACAGGCTTCAAATTGATCGAAAATGTTAGGTGTGAAATGTTCATTTAAATTTTTCCTATGACGAAATTCGTTTGTTCTCACCTTCTCAAGGCCGTCACCGATTCGATCTTCTCGAGCTGCGACTGTCTCTCCAAATACTCCCTCTTCTCCATTAACAACTCGTTGATGTTTTTCATCACTTCCTCGTCCTCCAAGGTAATGTCCTCGTTCTCCAATAGCCCGCGCAGTCTGTCGCATTCTTTCTTCAGCCCTTCCACCTCATCGTCAACCTAATACGTAATGAATTGTTCAGACACCCAGGAACATTATAGGAATTTCCTTTCGTGCGCTCCAAGAGATAAAGAAAAACAGTAAGCTGAGACCGGGCTATTTTTAAATGATAGTAACAGGTGAGCTTTTCAAACTGTTACTCACAGAATAACGTAGATCAAACATTAAAGATTTTATTTTTTCCTTCTTGGTGCATTTGTCTTTAGAACGTTTTTTTTTTCAATATATTTTTAGTTTCAACTTTTTTGTATATTATGAATTGTAAAAATATCCGACAGCAGAAGCTCCCACATATCAATTTTGACGGAGGAATCAGAATCTCCGACCTAGAGAACCCTCAGATCCATATTTTGAATAGAATCGGATCATAATCAATAAACTCCATAGAACGGCTAGGCTCTGGAATTCATTGCCTGTGGAAGTATTCCCAACAACATATAATCTCCAAAAGTTCAAAAAAAATTCCAATGCCTACCTCCTGTCCCTATCCTCCCTAGGAACGCACAATGTTCTTTGAACATTATAGGGATTCCCTTTCGTGCGCTCCAAGCGATAAAAAAAAATATTGGATCAGCCATCTTGAATTTACCTATTTTGATACAAGAATCATAATCTCCCACCCAGGAAACCCACAGATACCAATTCTGTATAGACCATATTGGACCCGCCATATTGAATTCCGAAATTTCGACGAAAGGATAATAATCTCCGACCCCGAAAACATCCAGATACAGATTACGAATAGAATCGGAATATAATTACAAAACTCGTTCGCCATATTGGTTCCGCCATCTTGAATTTCCAAATTTTTACTCAAGAATCAAAATCTCTGAACTAGAAAACCTTCAGATACAAATTTTGAATAGAATCGAATCATAACCTTTCGAATTTTTTCAATGAAATTTCGAATTACATCATTCTTATTTTGACATCATTTGTTAATATCGTTAAATTTGACTAACTGCAGAATTCAAAAAGAGTTCAGTGGCACAAACTAGATGTTAGACAAGGACAGATGAATCGGACCTCTTTATATTTCAATGCGGCTACGTTACTATAATTGAAGAGAAAGATGGAAGAGGAGAGAACATTCCTCTCTCTCGTTCAAGGTAGAAGAGAGCTCAATTACGAAACTCGTTTGCCATATTGGATCCGCCATCTTGAATTTTCCAATTTTAACAGAAGAATAATAATTGCCGACCCCAAGAGCCCCCAGAAACCAATTTTGAAAAAAAATCGTATCAAGATTGTGATGATCGTTATATACACTATAAGTTTTCTACGGCTGTATCAGATAACAGCGGAATTTTTTATTTATTCGGCTAGTAGCCATCTGATTTTGTGAAACAATAACACAATGAAGACATTGTGATATCAGATACAGAAAAGAAATTCGATTAAAAACACAGTAAAACAAGAGCAGTTTGTGTTATAGCCGTAGAATAGTTATTTAACCAACTAGTGTATTAATGAGGGCGATTAATGATCGAGATATTTTAACGTGCGAGCGAAGCGAGCGCGTTAATATACAAGTTGGTTACAAAATTTTTCCGTCGACTATATTTCTCATTTCTCCTGCAATGAAGAAAACTTGGTTCGCGAATTCATCATTCATCTGGAAACTGCTAAGAATCACCCAGTAGCCTTGTCACTGACATTAGTGACATTTGACATTCGTCGAAATGATCAACATAGAAAATAAATTCCTTGTGTTACAAAACAGGGATTAAAATCGTGTCAGAAACTTGGAATGGCGAACCCATTGACGGAAAATCGTCGATGAGATCCATATTTTCGATTTAAATGCAGATTCCGTAAGTTATAGCATAAACAATGAATGCACGCGGTGTATGTTTGGTCGCCTATAAAACAATCGTGCATTAATAGACAAATCGTTCATTAATAAGGGTCATTAATGAACGATTTCATATACATTAAACTTAGTCGTTAATACGAGGTCGACGGAAAAATAGTACATTGCACTGTGTCACTTTGCAACATTGAATATTGTTACCAATGAGTAGATGCCTTTCCAAGTTCCTCAAAATATAGCAAAAATACAGTTTCCGACAAAGATTTCATTTTTTAATACTGTCTGTAGGTTAATCGAGGAGGTGGTACATTCATTATTTCAGATTTTTTGGGATTTTCTCTCCTCGTTTCCATGAAATAAAAATATGAATATTATTTCAATATACGTGTAGTTAGGACAAATCAGATGATTTGCCCCAGAATGTCACTGTGTTTAAAGAATTTTCCTATCAAATTGTCCCTGACAAACTTGTTAATTTTTTTTTAAGCTCTCTGATAGGAAAATTCTTTAAACACAGTGACATTTTGGGGCAAATCATCTGGTTTGTCCTTACTACACGTTTATTGAAATAATAATAGTCATATTTTTATTTTATAGAAACGGGGAGAAAATCCCAAAAAATCTGGAATAATGAATTCATTTTTGTATTTTTTCTACATTCCATAATATTTTTCCTATGCCAATTCATACTTTTTTCTTTAAATTTTCGGCAACAATTTCAACTTTTGCAGCTTTCTCCATTATCTCTGGCAGTGTATTATCAAAATCGTCACTACTCTCAGTATATTCATATTATTTATTATGAATTGTTGGAATAATATTTGATGGACATTGCGATTTTTATCAAAGCACTAATGAAAACTACCCAAAGAATTTAAAAAACTTCTGCTGACAGTTGTGACAACTATTCACAGCTGAACTGCAGCCAACTGAGCTTTGGCCGATTTTTGTTGATTCTCCATGGAAATGTATGTGGTATTGGCAAAGTGCCGTGAAAAATAGCTATTTGTATAACAAGGAAGTAATCATTCAATGGAGGAAAATGCACTTTTTTCCGCCTCCATCAAATAACAAGTCATAGTAAATCAGTTAAGATATGAACATGTAAGCCATTTTGACCAATAATGAATAGATTCGGCACAAAAAAATTCTAAAATTGAAAAGATATCTATTTTGAAAAATTAATAAAAAATGCAATGACATACAGTTTATCCAATTGAAAAAACAGCAACTTTGATCCATACCCTGTACAACAGGCGAATATTTTCAAAATGCAGTGCTGATAGGTCCCTATTCGTCCGAAAAAGAAATAAACTGTCAAAAAACCCAACTGCTTCAGCCACAAAGCTATGTGTCAAATCACATGAATAACCCTGGGAATATAGTCAAGGTCAATTCCGTATAAGATATTTCCTTGATGACGTGCCATGACGTCACTTTTACTTTTCCTCCCTAGGGAGGAATGGTACGACTATGCTCCATATAATGAGGCCAGGAAATGTATACTTTGGATAGAGGTAGGCGGAAAAAGTCTTCCATGTGTCTCAACATTTTGTCCTTGTCTTCATGGTTCCAATGTAAATTAATAAAAAAACTCATTTAGGCTACACTAGAAATGGGATAAATGGAGAAAACCATTTCTAAACTTCTCGTATCAAGGTTAATATATGGTATTTTTTCCCTACATTGAGGCCAGGAAACGTTCACTTTGGATAGAGGTACGAGGAAAAAATATTTCCCAAAGTATGAGCAATACATGGTTTTGAAACTAAGTAAGCTTCAAGAAATACGCGACTTTTCATGTCAACTCTGTGTAGAAAAAATAGTTATCCTCACCTTCGTTTCGTCCTCCAGCCGCCTCTTCAGCACTGCCACCTCCCCCTCCAACCTGGCCACTTCCCCTCTCAACTCCACCACCTCCTCTCCCCCCGTCGCTTCAGCCTTCAACCTGGCCACCTCCCCCCTCAACTCCTCCACCAGCTTCACGTAATGGCCGACGTGCATCTCCACGTTGACGACGTTACGCTTCATCGACGACTTGATCTTTTTGGCGCGCGTAGCGTACTTCAGCGTGTTGTACGTGTCTTCGAAGCTGAGCGACGACGGTGACACGTTGGCTATCATGACGGTTTGACAGTTGCCGCCGAGGCTGTCTTTCAGCAGTCGTGTTAACTTCGAGTCCCTGCGGAAATTGTCTATAGTTCATTCCTCAGACGAAATAACAATAGATCAATTCATAAATCATTGAAAAATATACGCCAACAATCCTGATCGCTAAACAAGGATGAATGAATGCAATCGCGAATGGTGGGGATACTAATAGATACTTGTACATTCGCTGGTGAGTGCTCAGTCTGAATAATAACAGATAGACACCAGGATTAATTCATAAATCATTGAAAAGTATACGTCAACAATCCTAAACGACAAACACGGATGAATGAATGAAATCGCGAATGGTGGGGATAATAACAGCAACTTGTACATGCTACATTCGCGGGTGAGTGCTCAGACTAAATAACAATAGATAGTCATCGCTATTCATTTATAAATCATTGAAAAATGTACGTCAACAATCCTAAATGCCAAACACGAATATATGAATGAAATCGCGAATGGTGGGGATAACTGTGCGAAATCATCGCTAGAGAATTGATATTCTTCATAAATATAATTAATATATCTAATGAATCTGGATGCCTATCAATGTGTGCATGTGCATTAATAGTAACATGATAATACGTCATTTGAATCTCGTTGTATGAGTTTTGAATCAGATGTTTTAGAAGGAAATATTTCAGGAAAACTCGAAAATATGTGCCGAAGTGATCGACGTTACGCTTCATCGACGACTTGATCTTTTTGGCGCGCATCGCGTACTACAGCGTGTTGAGTGTCTTCGAAGCTGAGCGAAGGTGACACGTTCGCTATCATGACGGTTTGATAGTTGCCGCCGAGGCTGTCTTTGAGCAGTCGTGTTAACTTCAAGTCCCTGCAGAAATTGTCTATAGTTCATTCCTCAGACGAAATAACAATAGATCAATTCATAAATCATTGACAAGTGTACGACAACAATCCTAATGGCCAAACACTGATAAATGAATGCAATCAATCGCGAATGGTGGGGATAATAACAGATACTTGTACATTAGCTGGTGAGTGCTCATACTAAATATCAATAGATACACTGCTATTCATGCGTTTATGAATAAAGAGTATACGTCAACAATCCTAAACGTGAAATCGGGATAACTTTACGCAATTATTGCCACAGAATTGATATACAGGGTAAGTTATAACTATTGGCACATAGGCTAAGAGCGGATTGTTTGGACCAAAATATTGTCACGATCCTTGTCTTCCTGATGGAATGAGACCACATTATACAGCTCCAAGAGCTGTATACTTGTAACTAATACTTAACCCTTTATGTCCCGGGCCCTAATTAACATGTTTGTCTTCCAGTCCCAGAGGTTTTTTCATGCTTTCATTGCCTTATATATACGTCGCATATAAATAAACAGATAAATGAACAAATAATGTTTATTTTTTGTTATGTTAATGAGAAATATATATTTTTCAACAAACTTGAACGTTTTCTTTTCAGAAGTACTCATCAGAGAGCAAAACCAACTTGAAAAAATGTAACTAAAAGAAAATAATGTAACAAATGAACAAAGGCAAAGGCCGACTCCGCATCTTGTACACATGTATCTCGATTCGCTTCTTTTTTTCTGGTCTTTTGCGTTGGGTTACCACTAGTGCTACAATATAGCATATCTACAATATGAGAATATATACGGCAATGGGTCCGCATGACCTGTCTTAGGTGCCAACATTTTGCGGCTTTGGGACAAATAATCTAACATTTTCGGACATATTTCTACGGCATTGGGACCCCATTGGGTCTAAAATTTTATAAGTAGCACATATTTTCGGCTTTGGTGAAAACAGACCATTCCACCCTGAACATATATAAACGGCGGCTGGGACAACAGACCCACTTTTCAAAAAACATTTATAAGCGGCATTGAGACAGAAAGGATTAAGCGGTATATATATATATAGTAAAAGATTGTAGGTTCAATCCGTTCCGTGAGTGAAATGTCAATTGGTGCAAGACAGTCTGTTTCAGCTCGCCAAGCATCATCAGTCATGTCATAGTGACATGTCACTATGACATTTCACTCACGGAACGGATTGAACCTACAATCTTTTACTTCATACTCTTGCTCTGTGTTCATACACAATATCTATCTTTCCTCTTCTTTACTCTGTCCTGTGGTCATCCACACTATCGAGAAACTTGTTAATGAATCACCATTCTTTAGAGACAAAATGTTTTCGATCACCAAAGTAGCATTTCGCGCCCTAGATACAAAAATACCTAATTACCTGTACGGGACGTGTCTGAGGCCGTCTGCCAGACTGTTGATGCAGTTGCCGAGCGCCAACAGAGACTTGTTGATGTTGGCGCCCTCTGTGAAGCGAGCGCCCACAAAGCCGGTGGCAGAGCCCCGTTCGCTGCCCGCCAGATCGATCATACTCAGCTTCGCCGTGCGGATCTGAAAGCGAGGGGTGTAATATCTGTTTGGACAAAACAAGGTTTTTTTTTGCTCTTTTTCATCACTGATAAACATCCCCATCGATTAGTGGATGCCGAAAATAGGTCGCGTGTACATATTGTTGTGAATCAGATTTCTGTGACACCCAGTACAACTTTTATGTTAGCAAACTCTTGATTTTATTTGAATAAACAATGTATGAAAAACATAACAATTGGTTGTTCGAAAACGAGAGCACGGCTAGACAGGGAGTTGGGTAGTGAGAGTGTCCAAGTAAGTTTGGGGCGTAATTAGGGTTGAATAGCAAGTAAGTCACTTGTTTCTTTTTATATTCATTATGTAACGCCAGTTGGAAGGAACTTATTCTAAATAATTGAATAAAATGTTATTGATTTGTTTTGAACGATCTGCTCTTCGTGAACCACCCCGATTCACGTCAAGTGGTGGAGGCGCCAGGCAGATGACCGATCCTGAAGCTAAAACAACCTCACTTTTCTTATATGTTTACAAATGATTGAAATAGTTTTCTACAATGGTGACTAACATTTTCAGTCTCACCAGTTGGCGCTACTAAAACGTGAAGTCAATGTCAATGTCAAAAATCTCGAAATTTTGCCGGACAGCTTGCAATGGCTCTTTATCTCAGGGTTCGGCGGGATTCTCCACTAATCGAATGGGAAACACTAATTTCAACTTAAAAATTTATTAAAAACTATGATTGAAGCACAATCATATGATTCGCTTGACCACGAATTCTTATACCGCGACAAGATAATACGATGACTAAATCTAAAGGATGGTTCGGGAACGAACTTTCGTTCAAAAAGCGTTTGGCCTGAATTCCGCTGGCCGAATGGCCGGACTGACTCTCCCGGTCACGTGCACCAGACCCCGGCAACAACTGCCTGCGCAGTCGCACATCACGATCGCGAACACCATACAGGGTGAACCACCACAAGCTCTAAAGCCTGTGGCCCGTTTTATCAAATAAAAATACAAAATATTTATTTCCATAGACTTTGCAGTATTGGATGTCAAAATAGGTTTTCTAAGTGAAAAATCCGATATACAGTGAGTGAACATACATAATAGGTAGAAAAACAAACTTCGAAAAATTTTGCACACAAACAAAAGTGGTAAGGACATCAACAAAAAGTATTAGGTGCGAGGTCAGAGAAAAAATCATTGATTGATTAAAAAGAATTTTAAATCAAAAATAACTTTAAGGGTATTTTCAAATTTATGTTTATTTTGTATTTTTTTTTATCGAGAGTATTCGGAAATTGAACAAATAGAAAACCTCGAGTTATGGAAACGCGTTACGACCAATTCTCACATTGCCGGGAAAGAAGATATCGCAGGAAGATGCCAAATGACACGAAAAGAAGAAATATATTTATCAGTTCTACTAACTCTGACTGACGTTTCAGTGGCGCGATTTGGTGAAGAATAAATAATATTAGCCCTCATTATTTTGGCATACGAATCCTGTTACTTGGGCTATACAGGGTGTACGCTAAAAGGAGGTCAATCCATTAACCATATATTCCTTGAACAAAAACAATATGAGTTTCTAAATACCATTTTTCATTTTAGCCCTTCATATTCGATGTACAGGGTGTCAAAGTTGGAAATTTAAAACTGTTTTTTTCTAATTACTCGCGTATTTAATAAGATATCAATCTCAAAATTGGTACATTACTTCAGCACAAAGAGTTACATCGTGTGAGGAAAACAAAACAGAAAATAACTGTCAAATATTCAAAATACTGGGGGTCATGTACACACTTACCCCCATATTTTTTTTTGTACGTGCGCTAATGACTTCCGACCTATTTTCCTACAAGTGTTCAATCATTTTCGAGTAATATTTGTATCTTGTTAAATTTCGATACAATTATTTGTTTTCAAGATAATTCGAAAAGTACTGGTTATTGTTTGATGCCTATGCGGTTTACGGTAATCTCATAATGTTCACATACTCCTATTTACTTCGTCGAAATTGGAAGAGGGGGTAACTTTTAACGTATGAAAAGGAAATACCGGGTGGCGATTTTACTAAATATAAACTATTGCAGCACAAGACACGCCCACCATAATACGTCATATCTCATACTGTGCTCCAACGCAAGAACTGAAGCTTTCTCGTTGTCAATCTCAAATGGTCTACTGGTTAGCGCTGTCGACTCTCAGTCTGAAGGTTCATGGTTCGAATCGCTGTGAACTCGAACTTTTTTTTTCAACTTTTTTTTTTCACCAATGTTTTTTTACTTCATTCTGGTTTTCCATTTTCATAAAATATTTGAAGTCAAATAGGTTAGTGCGTTTAGGATAAACAGTCTCATTTTATTCAATTTTGTTGAAGAACTCAACTTTTGAAATATATTATTAATCAATGTGTTTCTACACTCCATTCGGTTTTCCTTCCTCAAAAATATTGCAATCAGGGATAGGTTAGTTCGTTGAGGATAAATAGTCTCTGAGTTTTGCCTAAGTAAAGTACTTTGAAGATGAGATATAACGTGGTATGTGCTACTTTTTCAATCGATTTATTTATATGAATCAGCTACGTTGTGCTGTCAAAGATTAGATTTTGCAGGATTGTGCTGGGCTCGATTATATTTTGCAATGCCGTAGTAGGGGGCGTGTCTTGTGCTGCAATAGTTTATATTTAGTAAAATCGCTACCGGGTGCTCAGAGCGAATGTATTAAAATAATTTTTAACGAAAAAGAATGGATAGAAATTCAACACGTCCTTATGAATTGCTCGATATGAATTTTTTGAATACACATGCAAGCCCTTTTAATTAAAGAAAATCTTAGCCTTTGAAAAATATGTGGCTTATGCACAAAATCTTTCATACATCCATAGACAATCCTGATCTGCTATTTCTTTCATCCAGTAGCTATTAAAATCATGAATATCATAATTTCACCAAAAATTTCCGAAAATATTTTTAATTCGACACGTGTCCTCACTTTTTTTATTCATTTTTTTGTAAAAATAATTTTAATACATTCACTCTGAGCACCCGGTATTTCCATATTTACCTTTTCGTACGTTAAAAAATACCCCCTCTTCCAATAGGCGAGAACACGAATTTCTGGAAAAAATACCATGGCCTTCAGTATGACGATAAAAGTCTCAGGTATTTTTTTCAGATTTTTATTCGAAGTAGTTTTTCCACAAAAAATTTGCAAAGTATTGATCCCGTTCAAACGAACTGGAATATCGCGCGTTAATGTGACGTGACAAGTATTAGACGGTGATCCGGCAACGTCGCTTGATATCTTCTGGACAGTTGACTGTGTGGACAGTTGACGATTCGTTCATCTGTCACTACTGTCAGTTGTTATTTTATTTTATTGTTTATTTGTTTTTGTGGGCCAATATTATTTTTATTCGTGCCATTCGAATTATTTATTTTTTCTCATCAACGTTGATTCACATTTCTGGGATGGCAGTAACTGTAAGAAGAAGCCACAAACTTGGTTTCATCCTGCTCAATCAACACTGAACAAAGTATATGGATAAACCGAGGGATAAACCATACCTGGAATTGAATGATATATTTTGCTGGGAGGATCATTTTAATGTGAGTAGAATTTTTTCTTCAATATGGATTGATCATACTCATTTTGTTCTAGCTTGAATATGACATGTTGAACTGGGTGGAATTGAAACTCATTGGATCTAGAGTTTATATGCCTGAAGATGTGATTCCTCATATATTCATTAAACATCCAAAACTAAGAAAACACCCATCAAAATCCTAACTTTCATCTTCAGCACGGAAAAGGAGATCTCAATAATCCCTTGAGAATTTGGGAGATAAGATAAAATGGAACTTCCCTCAAATCATGTTGACTATCCTTGAGGAAAATTCTTGGAAGTACCAGTGAGTGCTTTAGTTGAAGAAAGTTTTCTTGAAGAACCTGAAAAGAAACCTGTCATGGAAGAGACTGACATCAAATACTTTGTTTTCTTGCAAACTTTGTGATGATCTGGACAAGATATTGATATAATATTTCAATGTTCTACATTTATATTCATTCTAGAAGAGAAATATATCTATTAGGAGGTGTATTGATATTCAACTGTTATAATTATATCTACTGCATAAAGTGGACAATAAATGAAAATCTCCACCAACATTCTTGAGCATTCTTGCTTCATTTTGAAGATGGGGGCATTTGATAATTCCTGTGTACTACCTATTTGTTTACATTTTTGACAAATTTTCTCCACATAAAATAGTGACAACACCTATCTAGTAATTTTGGCTTGTATGATTTTGTTTTTCGCATTGAGAATTGATGTTGCATCTTCCATCATTTCTAGATATGCCAGTGCTTTCTTGGTTTATACTTACTGGTTTTTTTTCTTACTAATTTCATTACTTTTTTGATGTAATGATAGGTATTGGTCTTTCTTACCAATATTCCACTGACAATAAAATATGAATGAACTAGGTTGTTCGACAAGAAATAAACATGAATTTCATATACCTACCATCTCCAGATTGTGAAGGTATAGTGTATGATCAATATGAGAAGGGATTTTGAAGTTGTGTATGATGAAATATGTTATTTATAAGACACTGGTGAGCTCTAAATAAGTCCAATTTTGAAATAAGAAGAAAAAAAGTACTGTAGTACTGATATTTACAATTTTATTAAATGGGTGAAAATAACAGTTTGCCAAACATTTTCAGCATCTTTTATAATTTTCTAAAGGAATATAGGGTTATATGACACTTCAAGTAACTGAAAACTACCATTATTCTCAAAATTCTCCTGCTCATCTAATGTACCTTCGAATGTCTTGCACTTTGTGCCTCATAGCTCTGAAGCAGTAATTCTCCCATAGTAAACTTCAAACCATGCTGATAATGATTATTTGTTTTGATTCACTTTTATATCTTGCACCAATTCACAATCACTGTCACTGATATTCTGATGAATGAAGTCTTGGAATCCCTCAGGAGACAAATTGGATGAATGTTTTCTGGACAAAATAATTAGCTTATGAATCAGAATCAAACTCTTTCAAAAACAGTTATCCTTGGCATCCATGTTTTCCATCTACTTGAAAAACTTCCTCAAGAAATTTTGATGGAACCACTGGGAGGGTAGGAACTTGTTTTGGTGCTAATTCTACAAGTGGCATGAATGTTGATAGGAAGCTCAAAAATTTGGTAGTTTGGACACTTTTCAGTAACACTCCATAGAAGGTACAGAGGGTTCTTCTGATCTTCCATGTAACCATAATAAGAAAGCCACACTGTGTTTACATCTACCTAAGAATATAAAAGAATACAGTTTATAAAAGAGTCAAGAACTTATGTACCTTTTACCTTTTGAAACTGCACAATCCAGACTACATGCAGTTTCTTCAGCTTCATGAATCTCAGCCTCAACTCTTTATGGTGTAGGACGAACTTTATGTTCTGGACTAATCTTCACCTTTATGAAACAGCTCATGCCAGTTATTTGAACTTGCAGAATTCAAAAACCATAGTTGAATCAACTGCTGGAAGATTGTGATTGCTTTTTCGAATACTGGCTTCATATCTCCAATCAATAAACATGAACCATCAGACTATGTAGTATAATAGTCACAATGATTTGAATATTTTGATTACCCAAGAAAATATTCAACTCTATTAAGCAGATGAAAAATCACAGAAAAACTCTGATGTTCTGATGTTTAGGACTTTTAGGAGTTCGGTTTTTTAGGTTAGGAAATATGTTAAAATATTTTGAATGTACAGTACAGCGTTGCCAAATGCACGCCAATACTTGTTACGTCATCACGTATCCGCCATTATTGGTTTTTTGAATGGTCCTCAAATTTGTATGGTTTTGGAAACGCGTTCCTTTGATAATGACAGCATTTATAGTTGAAAAAACTACTGGTACACATTATTTCAATGTTATATTTATTTCTTATGCACATTTGAACTGAATTCGTGCTATTGTGTTCTCGCCTATTTCGACGAAATAAATAGGAGTTCGTGAACATTATGAGATTACCGTAAGCCGCATAGGCATCAAACAATAACCAGTACTTTTCGAATTATCTTTAAAACAAATAATTTTATCGAAATTTTACAAGAAACAAGAAATACTCAAAAATGATTGGACACTTGAAGAAAAATAGATAGGAAGTCATTACCGCACGTACAAAAAAAAATATGGGGTAAGTGTGTATTTGACCCCCAGTATTTTGAATAGTTGATAGTTATTTTCTGTTCTGTTTTCCTCACACGATGTAACTCTTTGCTTGCGCTGAAGTGATGTACCAATTTTGAGATTGATATCTTATTAAATACGCGAGTAATTAGAAAAAAACAGTTTTTAATTTCCAACTTTGACACCCTGTATATCGAATATGAAGGGCTAAAATGAAAAATGGTATTTAGAAACTCATATTGTTTTTGTTCAAAGAATATATGGTTAATGAATTGACCTCCTTGTAGCGGACACCCTGTATATTTATTTAAGCATGCCATCACATTGTGATGTTTTAGAGTGTTACTTTTATTACTGTGAACCCCCTTTTAATTTTTTTGTATATCTACAAAGAGGAACTGATTATTCAATTATCTTGATTCAATTTAATATTATATCTTTGAACACACGATGAATCATTATCACAGTTTCATTTCTATACAACTTGATACATAAGATATCATCAGCCCCCTTTCTAGAAAATATCAATTTCCACACAGTAAAAAATAGCAGGAAAATATTTTTAGGTTCCTAAAATAACGGCGTAACGACTATGAGTACCTAATGAGAAAATTGAAAATTTCTCCGTATTTAGTAGTTAACAAGGTGTACTGAAAATATATGCAGTTTTATCCTTGATAAATTCCTAGTTTATTTTGTTCCACACTTTTTGTCCCATCTCAAAAAATAGTGGGGGAAAGGCGAATTATGTTTTTCTGAACATCTGTAACTCGGGTTATCTTCAACAAAATTCAACAATCTTGGGCTCGTTGTAATTTGAATTGGTTTCATATGCTGCCGCTGCCGCTAAAGGGCGTGATCGGGGTATCGATGGATACCGTGATTTGAAAAAAAAATCAAATGTGATGATGTGCCTATTATTACATGGTGAACAACGAAAACCGCAACATGATAGCTTTTTGCTAACGGAAGATATCAACGAACAAAGTTGGAAGAATGATTGATGACAGCCGTTCTTAGTTGTACACCCTGTACATCTTTCCTGCCTGTTGAGTGTCAGAGAAAAGCCACTTTCTATGCTGCTTGGGGAAAAATGCGGTTCCGCTTACCTCTTTGGTGGCTTTCATGGTCATTTTGAGGTACACCTGGAAGACGGCGTGCGATCTGGAACTTTCGGAATTCGCGTCAGTCGGATGCTGCGTCCTGTTCTTGTTGCCCTGCTCCAGCAAACTGAACAGCTCGTCGGGTCTCTTGATCTCGTACACCTGACATTTCATTTCCGATAATATCGCTAATTCATTTTTTCATTTCCTTCTACTTCAGCTCAAAGTAACATAAGTGATGAAGAAACGCGGAAAGAAGGAATGAATATGCGCTTATACAGGTTTCAGTATTGCAAGAGGTGATTTTGATTTGGTACAGAAAATTCCGTAGCCGTAAATTGAATCTACAGAATAGTTTTGAGCGAAGACAAAAGTCAAAACTGCATAGCACAAAAGACGAAAGTCTTTGTGTCTTTGGCAAAATGAACAAACATTGTTCTTTGCGTTTGAGAACTACTTCTTGAACCAACTAGATTAAATTAATAATCAAATTAGCTCTTAGGCTTCTTCGCCTAACTGATGAGACCCGGAAGGTCGAAAGCTCACACATTGCACCCTAAAATATCGTTGGGTTAAGGTGAAACCCGTAAACTGGGAGTCCGAAGAAAGAAGGAATCCGAAGAAGAAAGAAATCAGAGAAGAAAGGAATCCAAGGAAAGCATCTAGGGAGGAAACGAAGGGATCCAGAGAAAAAGGGAATCCATGGAAGAAAGGAAGGAAGCAAGGAAGGAACCAAAGAAGAAAGGAATGCAAAGAAGGACCAAATTCAAACAAGGAAAAAATTTAAGGAAGAATGGAATCCAAAGAAGGAAGGTTTCCAAAGAAGAAAGGAAGGAAAGGAACCCAAAAAAGGAAAGAATACAAGGAAGTATTGTTCATCCCAAGGAAGGATAGAAGGACTCCATGTAGTATAGAAAGAAACCAAAGAAAGAAGGAAGGAACCCAAAGTAGGAAACCGTCTGAAGACAGAAGGAATCCAAAGAACGAAAAAATATAAGGAAGGGAAGAAGAAAACGGAAGAGATCTAACGAAAGAAGGAATATAAAGAAGGCAGGGAATCAAAGAAGGAAGGAGTCTAAGGGAGATTTATTTATTTATTTACTTAATGAAAATGGGATACAAACAGGCAGAAGCCCAAAACTGCATCCACTAGTTACACAGAATACTCTGATGCTTACATTTTACAGAGTTAATATCACAATAATATTAAATATTCAGTACCTGAAGATAAAACAAAAATAAATTCCGAATTTAGATCAATCAGACGAATATATGGTTTCTAATAAGTGCCCTGAACTGACTCAATGATGTACAATGTATATCTACGTTGCTGCAATATTTATTAAAATTATCACTCATTCTTACTCATTGGCGAGTTCAGTAACAAAGTGGTATAACAAGAATGGACATTCAAAAATATTTTAAGTCTTGTGGGTCTAGACGGTACATGGAATGATATGAGAGATAACAACATAGAAAAACTAACATGATTTCTCATTATTTTATAGATGAATAATAAATCAGACATAATTCTACGTTGCTCCAAGGTTATAAGTCAAAAAGAGCGTCTGGTTTGGTTAATACTCTCTACAACAAATGAATTGTTCACTCAAGTTCAGAAATCTGAAAAAATTATTTTGAACTCTTTCCAATAGAACTTTGTGGTTGGTATAATGAGGACTTCAAATGACACTTGCAAAACATAATCGGCTATATACATAGGCATAATATAATGTTTTGATTGAATTTTGAGACCGAAAATATTTACAAGTTCTTTTAATAAAACCTAACATTCTATTGCATTTGTTAGTAACTGTTAACATATAGTTTTAACAGTTGTTATATGTTGGTCACATTGTGTTGTGCAATTTTCCATATACTCATTCTGATTATAATGTCCATTTATATTCTACACATGGTAGTAAATAAAATGTGATAGATGTCAGATAGGAAGAAACTTCAGTCAGAATAAAATTAATAAAGTCAACACTCGTTTTGTTCATTGAGTCGAAATCCAGCTTAGTCAATAAAGTGGATAGTAATATACATTTCGAAGCAGATCAATGTTATTATTACCTAACAGATTATGAGACTTAACAGTGCTGAAGACTAAAGAAAGAAAGAAAGTTAACGAGTGAAGTTAGAAAGTTAGAATTAGCGAAACCAAGTGCGATCAAGGAAAGACGAAAGAAAAGATAGAAAAGTAATAATGGCAGAAGACGAAGCAGTAAGGAAATATTTGAAGCTGGACAAGGACAACTACTTTTCATGGTCGTTGACCACGAAAGCTCTACTGCGTCAAAGGGGTTGCTGGGACGCTGTCTCCCCAGGTTATCTTCAGATAGGCGATGCGGATGAGATAGACACATTCTTAGCTGATGAAGTGAAGAAGAATGATAGAGCAATATCGATCATACTTTTGACATTGAGTTCGAAGACAATCAACTTCGTCGGCGCTATAAATGTCGCACAGTTTATGTGGAACAAGCTTGAAAAGCTGTATACCAAAGCAGGACCCATAAACCAAACATTGCTGCTTCGCGAACTGATATCTATTAAGAAAGAAGATGATGAACCAATGGAAGATTACTTCGGAAAATTCTTCAACATAAACAGAAGATTGAAAGCAACAAAAGCAGATTTCGGTGACAAAGTTATAGCAAGATTCATTATTGGTGGTCTCCCGCTTGATAAGTATGAAGTGCTAATTACCACCATAGACCAAGGAGAACAAATAGATTTGGAAGAAGTTATGGCTAGATTAATGGCTGAGGATGCAAGAAGAGAAAGCTACAAGTCATCAAACAAGACGAACAAGAGTCAAGATGAAGTTACTGCTCTAGTTTCAAGGTTCGAGAGAGCTACGAAATTTGAGAACAGTGGAGGTTGGAGAAACGATTCCAGGGGAGGCAGTTACAAAAGTGATCTGTCGAAGGAGAAGAGATTTGTATGCTTTTCTTGCAAAGAACCTGGGCATATAGCTCGTGAGTGCCCATATTTCGAGGAGGAAGAAGATTCAAAAAGATACTACAAGAAGAAAGGAGAGAAGAAGTATCAGATAGAAGATAGAAAGCACCATTCGAAGTCAAGACATCAAAAGAAAACTGCAAGATCTGCTGAGTTCGAATCAGATTCAAGCTCAACTGAGGAGAGTGACAGTGAAAGTGAAGAGGAAAAATCAAAAAAGGTGAAATGCAGTGCAAAGAAAGCATCGATAAAAACCGTCAAGTCGAAAGCTCTCATGGCAGGTATGAGTTCTCTAATCAGAAAGTCCGAGTCCCATGCAATTTTTATTGATGGAGGAGCAAGTGATTATTTAACCCCTCATGAAGAACTAATTCAAGATCTAGATAAAAGTTACGGAGGAAAGGTGAAGACAGCCAGTGGAAATTGTCTGAAGGTAACTGGAAGAGGCACTATGATTGCACAGCTTACAAAGAAGTGTGGGGGTTATCAAATAACTCTGCAGAAAGTTTATTTAGTCCCAGAACTCGACTGTACTCTCATCTCAGAAAGGAGACTAGAAGAGAAAGGTTTTAAAATCATTACTAAAAATGGAGAAAAGAAAATTTATGATGGCAAAGAGTTATTCATGACAGGTTTTTGGAGCGAGAATGCGAAGATGTATCAACTGAAGTGTGAACATTTTTTGATAAATGGTGAAAAGATACAATTGAGAGCAAATCAGAAGCATGAAGAAAGAATAGTTGCGGCGAAATGCTCAAGAGTCGAATTGTGGCATGACAGATTTGGACACCTGAATAACTTACCTAACATATGTGAAGTAAAACAACCAATGCCAAAGTGTGATATATGTCTAGAAGGGAAACTACAGAGACTACCATTCAAGACAAGTGAATCTCATGCCTCAGATGTGCTAGAATTAGTTCACTCTTGACATCATGGGACCACTACCTGTTGAATCAATAGGAAAATCTAGATACGTCTTAACATTCTTAGATGATTATTCAAGATATGTTGAAGTGAAGCCCATCAAGAAGAAAAGTGAAGCTGCAAGTGAGTTCAAAATCTATCAAGCTAAAAATGAAAGAAAACATGAGAAGAAACTCAAGATATTGATGTCAGACAACGGAGGAGTATATATTTCAAAAGAAATGAAGACTTTCATGGAAGAGAAGGGGATAGAGCATCGGTTTTCCATCCCTGGAATACCACAGCAGAATGGCAGGGCAGAACGACTCAACCTTACTTTGCTGAATATGGTGAGGTGCATGCTCATCAGATCAGGCCTGCCACCCTGTTTTTGGGCCGAAGCAATAGTGTATGCAGCGTATTTGAGAAACAGATGTTGCACCACAGTAATAGAAGGAAATGCCCCATTGGAATTGTGGAGGGGAAAGGAAATGACACTCAAGGACATAGAGTGTATCAGAGTATTCGGCTGTGAAGCTTGGACTGCGGTAACTCGAAACAACAAACTTGAAGCGCGAGGAACCAAGTGTGTGTTCATTGGTCTGGAACATGGAAAGAAAGGTTTCAAATTATACAAGATCGGAGAAAAGAAGATGACTATCGCAAGGGATGTGAAATTTTTCGAAGAATCGTTTCCTTTCAAGCAGGTGAAAACTACAGAACAACAGAAGGATGACAGCAGCGCTCGCTTGGACGCTTTCTTAGAAGACTTGGAACTCGATTTGGACAATGAAGATGCAACTGACTGTGAATACAACAGTCAAGGTGTCGGCGCTCCTTTAGAAACTGTAACAATTTCTGGAGAAGAAAATATGAAAAAACCTGTTAATCAAGAACAAGACGAAAATCAAGATTTGTCATCAACAACACTACCATTGAGAAGATCAACAAGACAATGTAAGAATAAACATGTGTGTGATGGAATATGCTGCACTGTTAGAACATATAACCTAACTAGAGATCCAATAACTTTAAGAGAAGCAGTAAGTGGTCCAAAAGGAAAGCATTGGGAACAAGCCATGCACCAAGAGCTTCAAAAATTTCAAGAAATAAATGCGTGCGACATTGTTGAACGCCCAACCAACAAAAATGTTGTGAGCTGCAAATGGATATACAAAACCAAATATGACAGTGATGGACATATTTCAAATCATAAAGCAAGATTGGTGGCACGAGGATTCACCCAGATAGAAGGAGAAGATTTTTTCGATACATATTCCCCAGTGATC